TTTACTACATGTACTTGTACCTTTGAACGTGACCTCTTAACACCATATCCTCGGCTTTAATGAGCGGACGTCTTATCGTTTTAGGTGAGTTGATCTCTAATGAAAATTATACTCTTACAACCCAATTAAATACCCCCTTCCTTGAAATTTAAATTATGATATAACATCAACACGTAAAAGTTCTTACGGGGTAGGTCGTACAGTCTCGAGACGAAACCTACCCAAGGTCTAGCGAACTGTACCTGATGAGTCTCGCTTTTTAGACAAATTTCTGGTTTCTTGTCAAATTTGCCAAAACAGACTGGTAAGAGCTTTTACATGCCGGCATTCCTTACTACTTATACTAACCTATAAACTACTTCACTTTCCGGTGTATGTTTTAATGATCCGTTCCTTACAATCCTTGAAATTTCCACGCTGCGTTTGTACGGCCTAACGTAAACTTCCTTTAGTATTCATGCTAGGCTACTAGCTGTGCCAATTTTCCTTCTAAAAAGTACCCTCCGAGCCATGCTGGTTAGTCTTCCCAACTTTGTTTTTTAACAATATCCTCCTAGCCATACTGGTTTTTTCCCCAATTTTCCTTCTAAAAAAATATCCTCCTAGCCATGCTGGTTAGTCTCCCCCAATTTTCCTTCTAAAAAATATCCTCCTAGCCATGCTGGTTAGTCTTCCCCAATTTTCCTTCTAAAAAATATCCTCCTAGCCATGCTGGTTAGTCTTCCCCAATTTTCCTTCTAAAAAATATCCTCCTAGCCATGCTGGTTAGTCTTCCCCAATTTTCCTTCAAAAAAAATATCCTCCTAGCCATGCTGGTTAGTCTTCCCCATTTTTCTTTTTAAAAAATATCCTCCTAGCCATGCTGGTTAGTTTTCCCCAATGTTCCTTATAAAAAATATCCTCCTAGCCATGCCCATATTGGATATTATTTTCCTTGAGCAGGATGGGGATGGGCTTAACGTGTCAGTGCACCGTGTTGTAGCCAGTGTTCGCGAAGAAAACGAACTCCGAATGACTCCGTAGATAGCAATTTGCCTTGCAATGAGCATGAGTTAAAAGAGGATGCACTGACAGATAGCCAAAATAGGGAAACCTTTGTTTTTCCAGACGGCACCAATTTTGTCATGCCTCCTGGTCTTACCCTTGTGACAAGTGTAAAATATAGCCCCCTCTATTTATTTCTTTATTTCTAGTCCTTTTTATGCATGAGTAACTGTTAATTTACATTGTAATAGAATCACTCCTGCGTTACCTTTATTATTTAAATTAAGTACGGCGCACCCAAACCTTCAGTTTCGCGCCACGGTTCACATTACACTCTGACGAAGACAACTCAACATGTCTTTTTGATGTCTTCGTCATTTTACAGGTAAATCTTTGATTTATTTATTGCCAATATTCCTAAATTGTTTAAATATATTCTATCTAGAGTGATATTCTTGTATATGCATTCATTTAACTATTCTGTATAATTTTGATTTACTTTGGTTCGTGTTTTATGACTTTGACTCACGATGTTGTTTCTCAGGAAGTGAGACGAAACACCAATATATTTCATTTGTTTAAATAGTGTTATACTGTCTAAGATTTATTTGAATAGTATAGTGCTCTCCAAGATTCCAATACTTTGAAGCTGTAGCTTGTAAATATTAATATATATGAATCACTGCTTTTTGACACATTAATGGTACAGTTATAAGTGAGATTTTCAAGATGGCGGAAACCGTCCAGACTTTTGGGCGCGAAGTCCATTTGACCATTATTCCAATATCTTATTTTGTTCTTCATTTTCAATTATTGATTCCTCATTTTCTGTAAATAATTATGTGAGATTAGCCAGGATGGCTGATAATTGTTTAAAATTAATCGTGATTTTGTCCAGTGAACTTCATTTAAGAATTGTGTAGTTATTGTTAATTAGCTTTAATCATTAGACATTACACTCTGACGAAGACAACTCAACATGTCTTATTGATGTCTTCGTCATTTTACAGAATAAACAGAAAAGGATCCAAGCCAGAGGGACCAGCCTGTGTCGTATCTACACTTTATTTAAAACCCCGGTCACACCCCTAAACACTTGGCACCAGAAGACGCTATTAAGGCAGCGGAATTAATTAAAAAGTATATCGATGTTTTCCCAGCCGGGCCCTTTGATTTGGGTTATTGTGACACCATCCCTCACAAAATACGGCTGAGCGATAATACTCCAGTGAACCTCCCTTATCGGAGAATATTACCTTCTAAGGTTGGCGAAGTGAAGACCCTGCTTCAGGATCTTCTCGATAGGGGAATATACGTCGATCATCTAGTCCTTACGCGAGTCCCATCGTTCTTGTGCGTAAGAAAAGTGGCCAACTCAGATTATGTATTGACTACAGGTGCTTAAACGCGAAGACAGCCAAAGATTAATTTCCATTGTCGAAGATAGACGAAACCCTAGAGGCTCTTGGTGGCGCTAAAGTATTTTCTTCTTTAGATATGACCCATGGCTACTTCCTAGTAGCCATGGAAGAAGATTCTATTGATGAGGCCAAAAAAAACAAATATTCGGTCTCTGGTCAGACCAAAGTTCCGAAATTGACGCGGCCACGCGGCTTTCTTTTTTTTTGTCTTCAAGCTTGGACTGTACAGACAAGGTGGGTACTATTTTGCTTTTTTGGTGTCCTCATGTACATTGGTGTCCTCCATAATTTGTCTTGGTGCTTTCGATCATTTGCCTTGGTGCAATTTCCCATTCCTTGGTGCTCTTTGGTAAAAAAAAAAATGAGGAGGTGCGGAAATAGAGAGCGCTGTTGGAGATACCGCGGAACATTTTGGAAAAAAAAAAGATCGACGCGCATGATTAAAATCGACGCGCGCGCTGACCAGAGACCGACTTTTTTCTCTCTTTTTTTTGGCCTAATACCGCGTTTAGGGTACCTTGGGGACTCTATGAATGTTTACGTCTTCCCCAGGGTCTCATCAACAGCCCAAGTACGTTTCAGAGAATAATGGACCACATTTTCGGAGATCTGAACCTGTCGGAGCTGATTCTCTATCTAGATGGCCTGTTAGTCTTCTTTGCCACATTTGTCAGCCACATTGAGAGACTTGACAAAGTTTTCAGTCGTTTAAAACAATACGATCTCAAACTAAACGGGTCAAAGTGTCAGTTATTCAGAGATTCCGTGGTTCATTTGCGTCATGTCGTAGACTCTAACGGAGTCAAGGGCGGATCCAGGGGGGGGGGGACCAAAGGGGGCCATGGCCCCCCCCCCCAAAAAAAAACGAAACCAATTTTTTTTTTTTATGTGACGTCGCAATAAAGGCAGGCAATGAGTACACCACCATCTTTTCCTCAAAAAAACATTGGTAAAAGTGGTCAGAAATTGCCTCAGATCGCACCACAGAGCATCTAGAATCCAAAAAAATTTTCGGGGCCCTTAAGCGGGCCCCGAACCCCACGCTGTAATTTTTTGACCCACTTTTTTGGGGGACCAAATATTTTTTTGGCCCCCCAAAAAAAATTGTCTTCTGGATCCGCCCTTGAACGGAGTGTCAGTAGATCCTGATAAAACCGAACGAGTGAGGTCTTGGCCTACCCCATCAACTGCAAATCTGCTGCGTTCCTTCCTTGGGTTAGCCTCGTACTGCAGGTGTTTCGTGCGCGACTTCGCCAAAATTGCAGACACGCGCTCACCGGTAAAGCACAATCAAAAGCAGGGAAGGCCACAGCCCCATTCGTTTGGACAGAAGAGGCCGACGTAGCTTTCAATGTTTTGAAAGACGTACTGTGCACGGCCCGCGTCTTGGCATATCCATGCTGTGATCGCGACTTTGTACTTGACGGACGCTTCTGCTAAGGGTTTAGGCGCGTGTCTCTGTCAGGCTGATGACAGTGGGAAACTTCACCCAGTCGCGTACGCGAGTCGAAGTCTACGCGGAGCAGAGACAAATTATGCCGATTTATCCAGTTTCAAGCTGGAATTACTCGCCTTGAAATGGGCAGTGTCAGAAAAATTCCGCGACTACCTGCTTGGTCACCACACAATCGTATGGACTGACCATAACCCTCTGTCTCACCTACAAACGGCAAAACTTGGTGCTACTGAGCAGAGATGGATAGCCCAATTAGCACCTTTCGATCTTGAGATAAAATATAGATCCGGGAAGACAAATAAGTGTGCTGACGCCCTGAGCCGCTATCCTCATATCGCCTCAGTAACCTGCGTTGAACTACAAAATAATGGACTCACCTGCGAGGGTTCACAAGTACCCATTGATGTGTCAGCTCAGAATGCGTCCGAAACGCATACCCAAAAGACAGAAGGCACATCACAGGAGACCGCCGGTTCTGCCCCTGCGGTGCTCCCCTCGTTCTCACATGAGCTTGCCTCCCTTCAGAAAGAAGATGAGTCTTTACGAGTTGTGTGGGACAGTTGGTATAAAAAATGCAAGCCTTGCCAAAATATGGGTGATGTTAAACTCACTTCCAGCTGTGAGCTGTGCTGTTTTGTGTATCCTTAAATAACCGAAGCCAAAGGCACTGGGGTAGGTTTATCTGTATAATTTATTATTTAATAATATTTATAAATCAGACCGATTACTTTGTTAGAAACTTAATTGGCACCTCACTTATTGTAATTTTTCAGGGTTTTTACTTCTACTGAAAGAAGTCTTGTCTTCTTCGGGATTGTCATTTGTCATGTCATCTGTTGAATAAAACAACGGCGAGGCCTGTCGACGAGGCGACCCTTGATATGTGGCTGACCAGCTACTACACCTACATAACATGCAGGAATTTCTACATTATTACGCTTTTCAACGAGAAAAAAACATCTCTATACTGGAATAAAAGAGTAATGAATCAGTCTTAACGGCCGTTTCAAACCTTGCAGAGTCATGACCTTGATGACGCGCAGGTCACTGGTCACGCAAAATCCAACCAATCAGAGCGTGAATTCATCAGAGTATCCCAGCGTCCTGTTTGCAGGGCGGGGGGTACGAGCGCGCGAAGTGAAAACTCAGTTTTAGTAAGTCACATGGTGGCGCTATTTTCAAGATGGCTGCAGAATGCGAAGCTTGAGAAACTCTCAAACGAGGAGAAAAAGCGGATATTTCACGAAAGAATACATCGTGTAAGTGTGCATATTAATTATTAGTTGTTGAGGGTAGTCAGTAGTACGCCGTTGTTGCTTAAGTAGGTCTACCTCTAAGCCGATTCGGCATTTCACGCTCATAAAAACTCACTCTCAAAACTAAAAACGAAGTGGCTATCGTTACGGCACTCGTTGTTTAGCGCCCTCTACGATATTTTTTTGGTACGCACGCAGGTATATAATTATTTGTTTCCACACGTTTTATCGAGCAGTGCGCCAGCTCAGCCGATAGAGGGTAGGATTTTGCACCGCGAGGTTGCGGGTTCGGATCTCAGTTTTGCACTCGAATTTTTTTCCTTTTCTAACCTGAGGCTTTGGAGGATTTTTTTTAAAAGGGAAATAAAGTCCGAATTTCATAAAGTTCAAATTCACTTTTTTCCTTCTAATTTTATATTTTATTGTCATGTTTTTTTATAAAAGTTGCCAGGTTGCAGTCTACCGTAACGATAGAAAATGGGAAATGCGTTACGGCTGCCGTAACAATAGCCACTGCGAACTAAAAAAGGTTTCGTGAAAACCTACTGACTATGACTATGAGCTCCACGTAGTGTAGCCCCATAATAATGTGGCCAGTTTACTGGACTGCCTCCGTAAACATAGGCCACACGTCCACCATCTTGGAATCTGACTCGCCGAAATTTTGAAAGTGATTTCCACATTGCGACTTCAAACCCAGTTCATTTATGCTTTAATAATACACTCACCCTCTTAATAACAAAATTAGAACCTGCTGCCAGTGTCAGTTGCCCAGCTGCTGCGTAATTTACGACATTTTCTGGATCCTTCTTGGCAACTTGGTCCAACCATGGAGCTATCTCCATGGTCCAACTGAACAATGCCCTCGCGCAGATCGTTCACCTGTCAATCACGCGTGCAGGACGCACGCCGCAGGCCCAGTGGTAGTCCGGTTCCCAGACCAAAAGATTCTGACTATTCCTAGGATCAGGAATTATGGGGCTACACGTAGTGGAGCCTCATAGGTTCAGAACCCCGCAAAATTGTTGTCGGCACAAAACACTAATTAAGTACAAAAACGTCCATCCCAACCAAGCTTTTTCCCACAGAACCGCTGCACAGTTTGCCCCTAAACTCCGAACAATACCTCATGACATGCTCACGTTATGTGCACCCAAAAAACATCGGTGGATTCTGTCTGTTTTTCGGCAAAAACGATGAAAAATATGCCCTTTCCGCACTGAGCCAACCTGACACTTAACGTGCACGCGCGCAGAATGATCGCAGTCATTTTCGGTTCGATCGCTCGGAGCGCGCCGCGGGGGGTACGTACTTGCACTTGTACGCATGCGCATACTATCGTTCCGCTCACTGATCTCTATATAAAGACTGGATAGCTAATAAAGAGCCGCACAATGTACGAATTTGACGCCATATTGGTGAGACCGGCTGGTGATCTACAAAGGACAAGTTGCCGTCTTTATAGACAGCTTGATTTATTTTGTAACGTCGCGGCTCACTTGACTTATATTTTGGCCACCACCACCTGACCACTGACCAACTGACCAAGGTTTACTACAATTTTTCTAACGTAGTGGTTACTTTTATAATGCCGCAAATCACTTTTTCGGCGTTTTTGAAATAATAATCACTACGGAAATGTGTTCCTTTTAGAAAATCATAATATGTGTACGTGACCAAAATGCGCGTCAACTGTTGATACAACGCGCGCGTATTTACGCGTAGAACGTTCGTATTATACGCGGCCATCTTCGTGAGACCGGGGGCGAATTGGTCAATATGCAAAGTCTACTGTGTGAATGTTGTATGCATATCCGCTATCCAGTCTTTATATAGAGATCAGTGGTTCCGCTCCTACACCATACCCCCCGCGGCGCGCTCCGAGCGATCGAACCGAAAATGACTGCGATCATTCTGCGCGCGTGCTCGTTTCAAGTGTTAGGTTGGCTCAGTGCGGAAAGGGCATATTTTTCATCATTTTTGCCGAAAACAGACAGAATCCACCGATGTTTGTTGGGTGCACATAACGTGAGTATGTCATGAGGTATTGTACGGAGTTTAGGGGCAAACTGTGCAGCGGTTCTGTGGGAAAAAGCTTGGTTGGGATGGACGTTTTTGTACTTAATTAGTGTTTTGTGCCGACAACAATTTTGCGGGGTTCTGAACCTATGAGGCTCCACGTTCTAGGAGTAGTGAAAACCTAGCCCGACTGCATCTGGCCTAGCCCCACTAGTGTGGCCGCGGTATGCTGCGCTGAACCTCTGGCCACACACCGTGGTCCGCGCACTACTGAGGACGTTTTCATAAAAATTGCAGGGAATTTCTTACATATGGTTGTATTCCAAGATGTCTCATCTATCACTTCTGCGATGCTTAGGTGTAATGATGTTCAATTTTCCGAGATATTCTTGAATCTTTCTGGAGCCCATATGCACTCGTGAAACGTCTGGTGATGGCAGCCATTTTGAATGTGAAGAGAGATGACCTCAAGCAGCTGTGACGTCGCGTTTATGCAAATTGCTTGTCGAGCGAGGGTGCGAGTTGCAAATGCGACGGCTGTTTCCTGTACTATGCATTTATCGTCTGGCAGTCTGGGGGCCACGTGCACTGATCTCTATTCAGGATCTACGGCACAGGAAACAGCCATCGCATTTGCAACTCGCGCCCTCGCTCGACAAGCAATTTGCGACGTCACAGCTTGAGGTCATCTCGTCACATTCAAAATGGCTGCCATCACCAGACGTTTCACGAGTGCATATGGGCTCCAGAAAGATTCAAGAATATCTCAGAAAATTGAACATCATTACACCTAAGCATCCCAGAAGTGATAGATGGGACATCGTATATATGTAAGAAATTCCCTGCAATTTTTATGAAAACGTCCTCAGTAGTGCGCGGACCACGGTGTGTGGCCAGAGGTTCAGCGCAGCATACCGCGGCCACACTAGTGGGGCTACATCTGGCCGTACAGTAGGCTACTATCGCAAGCTCTGTAGTACGGCCAGACCGCCGATGCTCCCCTACACGCTGAACTCTGATGTAGCGATTTTGCTACCGATTTTGAACAAGATTATCTTTTCATCTAGTCCGAGTAACTTGGACCAAACTTATCGCCTTTATAACATTCGGACATGGTCTGGCGATAGTAAGGTCCGCGCGCTCGGTAACAGAATCGCACTCGGGATACGGGGACCATCGAATGTACGCTGGGCATGAAGAAGAAATCGCGTCGTTCAAACATTAACACGAGTCGGAAATTTAACGTGTTCAAGATCGCGAGGGGAGCTCTCAGCATGCTCGGAATTGAACGGGAAATTTCACTTTTCTTCCGGATCATAAGTAAACTTCAGTACAACCATCTTAATCATCGATGTCTATTTGTACCTCAGGTGGCATATCTAGTAATTTGGAGGCCGTTTTGAGGGTGAAATCTGATGTTTTTTGTTGGAAAATGTTGGTTTTTGGGACAGTGACAGGATGATGTTGTCCAGCTCACACTATTAGCTTGGACTTTACTATCGCCAGACCATGTCCGAATGTTAAAAAGGCGATAAGTTTGGTCCAAGTTACATGTACTTGGACTACTTTTCATCCAGGACAGAAATTTCCAAAGTTAAGGTTCCTAGTCGTAGAGAAACTCATACCTTTTCGAAAAAACATTCTTTTATCATGTTTATCCCAAAATCTTCATCCATCCATCAGGAACCTTAACTTTGGAAATTTCTGTCCTGGATGAAAAGATAATCTCGATCAAAATCGGTAGCAAAATCGCTACATCAGAGTTCAGCGTGTAGAGGAGCATTGGCGGTCTGGCCGTACTACAGAGCTTGCGATAGGACTGTACGGCCAGATGCAGTCGGGCTAGTGAAAACCCACCTTCCAAATGGGGGCGCTCTTCAAAACTGCCCATTTTTAAACATATTGCAAATTCTATACCCATTTTCACGGCGCCTTTGTTATGTTTTTTGGGCGGGTTGGCTTTTTGGGGATTGATGTCTGAACAAAAATTCTAACCTTTTGATTTATTGACAAAATTGCTACACAAAAAATGTGCAAAAATCAGCCGGGGGGCATAGCCGAGAACCATTGGGTGGATGGTCTGGTTCGTGACGTTAAGTACTATTTAGGTCAGGGAACCAGACAGTTCCCTGAATAACGATTGCAGTTGAAAGTTATGTTACGGCTGCCGTAGCGATAGCCACTACAATGGCCTCCCACACTGAATACTACACATCATCTGGTTTTCTGACCCCACAACTCCCACTGGCACTGTCGTGACTGTCATGACTGTACATGTGGGCCTACCGGTACGGTACATGTTATGTACATGTATGATGTACTGTGGCCTGGATATGGAGTACCGAAGTAAATACGTCACGCGCACAAAATGTGTGTGAAAGATATTAGCGCGCGTGATTCAGCCGAACCAACACGTGTGCGTACGCTATTCGTTTGCACTACACTTTTGGGGTTCTAAATGAATGTGACACACCCCCCAACCCCCCAACCCCCAGTCCAGCACTACATGTAGCAAGATGCTACATACATGTTCATTATGTATAAAAATGAGACATGCATGTTACACATTACAGCTGTTGAGGGCAATGTACTTGTATAGTTTAACCAGTACACCTACATGTACAATGTACATGTACATTGTTCATTGAAACATGTACATGTATGTACATGTACATTATACACATGTATTTGGGTCATTCTATAAATTTGGGGTCCACTTTTTTCCTGTCCCTGTTACATCTGACATCTATGATTTTATAATTCTGATGCACTCCTTAATGCAGTCATCCTCCAAGAGTGATTATGAATAGCAAACTACCTACCCAACAAATAAACAATCATTTGAAGTCATTCTTAATGATGCTTGAATGGCAAATTACAAAGTACCAAGGTAACAGGGACGGGAAAAATGTCACACTTTGGACCCCAAATTTATAGAATGACCCATAAGTAAAGTGTGTTTTTTCTGAGATTATTAGAATCATCATAACCATCACAGAATCTTCCTAGATTGTTGCTGATACATGTAGTTATCACAAACTAACACTTAAAAACAAATTGCGAAATTTGAAGCGTGTACATGTACTTACAATGTGCGTTCGTAATTAAAGGTCCAACGTCATTTTGTTAAGTTGTTTTGCTTCATGTGCAATTTTGGTTTTATTTTATAAAATTTTATAAAATGGAGGCCATTTTTTTTTTTTTTTTCCCATGCACAGAAATACATTTACACTGTGAAGAAGTAACAATGGCTGCCAAACCAGAAGGATTTATTTCCGAGAGAATGTCTTCATCCCCGCCTTCCACCTTCCAGCTACAGACCAGTACCATCAGAAACAGCGCCCCTTTCAAGACAAAGAGCGCAGATGTATTCGGCTCACTGGATACCATGGAGAGGGATTACAACTCCACAGTCGGCAAGAGAGAGATAGATGTGGGCGGAGCCAAGGCTGATGATGAGAAGGAGGCTGAGGAGGGATGTATCAAGAGAGGGTGCATCTTTAAAAAACCTCAGGGCTCCTTAGTTCACAAAGCTTTAGCAGACGCTGTAACTCAAACAGCTGATTCTTCATCTTCTGAAGTACATGGAGTTGACAAAGCATCAAGTCCTTATCTGAGATCTCCCGGCAAACATGCATCTGTAAAACATGGTGCAACAACATCAGGGCAGCTGGGCTCTACAGCTGACAGAAGGGACAACACATCCTTTCGCAGACCAGACCGCGGAGCCTGGAGAAATGTTGGACGGAGAGGGAGGGGTACTTCTAATCCAAGGGGGAGGCATCATCCAGCAGACCATGTGCTGAACCCCAATAAGTACACTAAATATTCACTGGAAGAGACCAACATGTGCGGCAACTCTGCTAACAGAAGCGTTGCCCTTGGGTTCCTGAGTGAACTCAGGAAGAGAAAGCAGCAAGGTGACAACCAAACAGTCCAAGAGTCTGGTACCACAGAGCAGCTTGTCTTCCAAAAGCCCAGGGAAACCAGGACCCTTGACCAGGCTGAACAGCCATCCAAGAAGTCATACGGAAGTGTCTACAAAATGCCCAAGTATGAAGTGGGAAAAGCCTCAGCGCCAAAAAACAAAAAACCAAAGATTTCTTCGTTTTGGGAGACAGCGGGCATGAACATGGAAGATGAACTTGGAAATCCACGTGCGCGTCCCGTAATCAATTTGGATCATTTTGAAAACGAACAATCAATGGACAAAGAGGATGATAGGGCACAAAGTGTTAGCCAATCTGATTTACGTACATCATGTAGTAATCCACCTGGTCCTGTGGATACTGACAAACCAGAGCAGAGTGAAGCCGCTCAACATGAAGGGGGGACTTTTAAGAGCAAAAAAGGCAAAGGGAAGCGGCATTTCCGAGGTAGACAAGAAGACACTTAGACACGGTCCAATTTCTTCAAGTGTATTTTAATTGGAATTTTCATCGACGAAGAAAACTGTAGTGCATTTGTACAGTGTTGTACTCGGTACTCATACTCATCTCAAGAACAACTTGAGTCCTTTTTTTGGTGTAGTGTACTCATACTCGTACTTGAACTCGGATTTCAAAGTACTCGTTCTCGAAATGACGGTACTCATACTCGGTCAGCAAAGTACTCGTACTCAACAGGTCAGAATTGTACTCGATCATCAAAGTACTCGTACTCGAATAGCAGTACTTGAATTGAACAAAAATATTATAGCTTGACTAACCACGGTCTTATTGATTCTTTCAGTATTAATTGGTTGATTGACTTGCGGAGAAATCAAAGTTTCCTAATTTTCTTCTATGCACGTCCGTACAAACACATTTACCAGCTGCAATGTACATGTACATGTAGCCGTGAGTGGGTCTGTATATCGGTCTGACTGGGCCTGGGCCAATTACGCACAATGAACCATTTGCCGTATGACCGTATTCAGAAATAAAAGCACAAGTACCTGTAGTCGGAATAAAAAAACTTGTACTTGTACTTGGAAGTACCAGTACTTGTACTCTTAGACCTGTACTTGTTCTCGTAAGTACTCGAACTCGGTAACCTAAGTGCTCGGCAGTACTCGGTACTCTGGGGAAAAAAGTACTCGACTACAACACTGTTTGTACACAGTAATAAATTTAAAATAGAAATTGGCTTCAGTGGGATTTGAACAAAGGTATAAACCTAGTTCAAGTTTATTTCTTTGTTTTAAGTTTATCACTTTTAACGTCAAGTGCTTTGGTTAAACTATAGACCTATCTGCAGTATCTCAGCTGTGTGATTGAAATTGATGCCTACATGTACACACATACATGTACTGTACATGTTTATTTGATTAAAGAGGTTGTGGAATGCTGAAAATCATTTTGTTTTTTATATTTTTTTATTGTAGAGTAGACCCATATGTATATCGAAATGACAAAGTCCCATTCTTTTGTAATGTGCGTTTATAGGTTTATAAAACCGAAATTCATCGAGTAATTTGTTGGTCGGCGAGCGCATAATTGAAATCAACAGTAGTTGGGTTCTTTGTAAACTGAGAAAAATCGTGACGTAATAAACAGGACTCATTTATACTACGCTGCATCGGGAGTCCTGTTTATTACGTCGCGATTTACTATGTTTTGTTTGCTGCCCCCAACGACGACTTTTACACAAATTGCACGTCAAATCAATTACTCCCGTTTGGAAGACCGTATCTTCATGCAACTTTCAGGGTTTACTTTCCTCATAATGATCCAAGTATGTGCTAAAAATCATCGTGATTTGTTCATTACTTTCATTGAAATTGAAAAAATAGGCCTGGCTACGTGCATCATTGAAAGTTGTAACACTGACGTTTGCAATAGCAGTCAATCTTTTCAAGCCTCACGAATATTAAAAAAGTTTCCTATCCATTATGGTGTGCAGTAAACATTTTGAGAAAAGCCGCTTTCATGAGTTATTAATTGATAATATCAACCCATTTGCCGGCTTCCATTGGTCGATACCGAGACCCACACCAAAACACGCTGAGTGATGCTATGAATATGCTAATCTACAGTACCGATCAGAGTAAACAATTCCTGGTATACGGTAAATACGTTCTTCGTCAAAGTGTTTCAGCTCTGCCCACTACGGAAGACAGATTAGCGGGGATTAAAAAACCACAAACGATCCTGCAGTCAAGCGGCAAGTCGATATCGTTTTATTGCTGCAGTACACGTTGTTGTGTTTACCATTGAACCACAGGCAGATCTCGTGGCGGTAGTTCGTTTTTATGAGGTCGGCGAACGCTTCTTATCTGCGCTTAATCCTTAGCAAACACTGCGAGATAATAACATTGTTACCTGGAGTAATTCTGCACTCATACATGTACCAACAGGCCGCTACACTACAGTATGAGTATGATGAGTGGATACCGGTTTTCAGAACATTTCACGAAAACGTTCTACAGTATAGACTGTATAGTACGTACGTATCCAAAGAGCGGTCTAAAAAACGACCTATATAGTATCATGCCCGGGGGGGGGGGGGAATCAGGCTTCTTTCTTTGAGAGGCCGCCTGGGTATTTTGGGGGGGGGGAATACGAAAATGTTAGGAAAAAAACATTTCCAGAGGCGAAATACAAATAAAGAAGAACTCAATCTTCTGCTAGTGTTGTCAAATATAGTGTCACTGTCACTTCAAAAATGTCACTTCAAGAAAGACATTTTCCAGGCCTGAGGAAGATCGTTTATTTGTATTTTGTACGTAACGTTCAAGCTCAGATTATCTTTAAAAAAATTATTAAACGAAATAGAAGCCGCATCTTAGGCCAAAAGAAAGTTCTGCTTCCGGTTCCCTACCTGCCCTATTTTTATATGGGAAAATGAGAACAAAACACCCGATACCATCAATGTCTACCTTGTGCCGCATACGTCTCCATAATGATCCTACCAAAAAAAATGTCAAAAAAAATTAAAAATACATTCCCTACCTACCATACCTACCATATTTTTGAACGCCATGAAAAAATAATCGGAAGCAGAACTTTTTTGTTTGTTGCCTTCACAAATGTCCCCAAAGCGTCAGCATTCGAGAAAATAGTCACACCCTCTCTCACATGCAAGATTTTCTGGCTACGCAACCGGCAGTCTGGGACATCACAGGGGAGCCTCCCTAGCAACAGTATCTCTAGGCAACCAGGTTGGAATGTGACAGTTTTGCTGCACCTGCGGCTCAGCCTAGCAAGGAATTCCAGCCATTGGCCATCAATATCCATTTGAGTGTGGAAGGCGTGTCATATTCATGAAAGCATAAATGGTCCGTGAAGAAAGCAACCAATGGCGTATTTATTTGCCGGGACCGGCTCATTTAATTGGCTGAGACTGTTCATCAGACACCGTCCTCAAAGTTCGGCGGCGCCTTTTAAATGATGCCAAATAGATCTTTGTAACAACAACGAATATGTGTTGTATCAATTTGAACAATGCGGCTATCAATCATTCTGCGGGGAAGGGTTTTTTTGGTTATATTTTATCTGGGCATTTTTTCAAAGGCCATGAAAACTTTGGAAAAAAAAATGAGGGAAACTGAAATTTCACCCAGGCCGGTTTTGTGAATATGCACATGGCAAAATAACGAGTCGGATAGGGATATTCCAAGTCCCAAAATGAGTCATTAAATGCAGAGAGACCTCCATGTCTTTTTTGATATTATTCTTCGTATAAAAAAACCCATAACATTGCCTACATTATTTTGTGTAGATGTTACTCTTGAATATATTTTTCACGTTCAGTATTAATAAAAGTTCAAGGGCTGTTCAGTGTTGATAATCTTGATTTTATTCCTTTAAAAATAATAAAAACTAAGCATAATTCGTATAAAATTTTCCCCAGGAATTCACAGGAGATTGAACTGACAGTTCAGAATTTAATGGGCTAAGATGTGGTGAAATCGTTTCATTTAAAAAAAAAAAAGAGAATCAGACAAATTGTATTAAATTAACTCCTTAAATGTATTCGGCGTCTCTCTCTCTGAGGTCGGGTGAATAAATGGGCATGGCCTATTATTTTTGGGTCCGCTCATAAGTCCGACGCCTCATAAGTCCGACAACGGAATAACGAGGCGTTTAATTTGTCGGACTTATGAGGCGTCGGACTTATGAGGCGTCGGACCTATGAAGCGGAATAAATACATTTTAGGCCTCATAAGTCCGACGCCTCAAAAGTCCGAAATTTCGGACTTATGAGGCGTCGGACCTATGAGGCGTCGGACTTATGATACGGCCCCATTATTTTGTGGTCTTTTTATTTGACGAAATAGAAGCCACATCTTAGGCCCAAAACAGAGTTCTGCTTCCGGTTTCTCGACTTACCCTATTTTGACGGCCCCTACCTACCCTATTTTTTTATGGGAAAAAAATGAAGGAAAAAACACCCTAGAACCATTAATTCCTACCTTTTACCCTTGATTACGCGCAGACGCCTCCAAAGGCCCTCCATAATAAAAATGGCAAAAAAAAATAAATTCCCTACCGATCAACCTTATTTTTGAATGGCATATAAATCGGAAGCAGGACTTTTTTGGGGTTGTTGCCTTTACAAATGTCCCCAAAGCGTCAGCATTCGAGAAAATAGTCACACCCGCTCTCTCCCATGCAAGATTTTCTGGCTACGCAACCGGCAGTCTGGGACATCACAGGGGAGCCTCCCTAGCAACAGTATCTCTAGGCAACCAGGTTGGCGCGTGACATGACAGTGGGCATGCTGCACCTGCGGCTCAGCCTAGCAAGGAATTCCAGCCATTGGCCATCAATATCCGTTTGAGTGCGGAAGGCGCGTCATATTCATGAAAGCATAAATAGTCCGTGGAGAAAGCAACCAATGGCGTATTTATTTGCCGGGACCAGCTCATTTAATTGGCTGAGACTGTTCATGGGACACCGTCCTCAAAGTTCGGCGGCGCCTTTAGCTGATGCCAAACTGATCCTTTGTATATAACGAGCAACAGATGTGTTGTATCAATTTGATCAATGCGGCCATCAATCATTCTGCTGGGAAGGTTTTTTAAAGATTTTATTTGGGCATTTTTTTCAAAGACCATAAAAACTTCAAACAGAAAATGAGGTAAACTGAAATTTCACACGGGCCCCTTTTGTGAATATGCACATGAAAAAATAACGAGTCGGGTAGGGATATTCCAAGTCCCAAAAATAATTCATTAAATGCAGGGCCCTCCATGTGTTTATTTCGGGGCAAGACTTTCTTCTTCATTTAAACCCCCCATCGCCTCCCCCCCCCCCCCCCCAATGCGATATTGTGTGGCTTGGCCGAAATCGGTCAACCGTAGCGCCTAAGGCGCTTCGCTAAACAATGCATGTGACTTGGGTAGGCAGAAATCATCGTTGAAATTTTCCATGGAGATCGTTCAAATTGTAGCACTAGCGTTTGCAACAACATATTAAGCTGAAATTCGGAATATACTTAGATGGTATAAGTGTTCAACTGCTCGCGAGATAACAATTTTGAGAAATTCCTAGAAAAGATATAAATACAGAAATTTGGGGAAGTTTTCGAACGATTTCTTCCTGACTTGAAGGACAGCTCAGCTATACCAGTAACCAGTATTGACGTTTCGGCATCGATGACGGCGACTTTTTTTACTGACACGAAGCTAAGAATTTCTTCTTCCGATGTAATTTAACTTTTCAATCATACTGTGCATATTTTCTGAGAAACACAACGTTCAAAAGGCCATGTTTTTTTGTGGTGCATGCTTTTCACTGCTATAGCGTCTAAGTACGTAATCGGAGTAGCTTTGCTTAACAACGGCAGACGTTTGCCTTAGCAACCACATGACTGGATTGAGCCTGAAAATACGGCACTTTGTATTTGAGCCAAATAAAAAATGCGGGCTAGTAATGCTCCCGGGCTAGTTAAAAGTCTGTTTCAGTATCCCGGCTGGCTAGTGAACAAAAAAGTTAAGGTCGAACCCTGGTTTGCCATGAAAATTGCATATTTACTGAAGCCCTTTTTATGGACATCGTTCGCTGGCCTTGCGTTGCTGTCAGTTGTGTGGACGGGAAAATATAGCAGCTACGCGTGACACGGCAACTGACTGGCAACGTAAGCCCGCGGCGAGGATATGCCGCCGAATATACCGTACGGACGGAGAATGACGAACGCCTTGACCAAGGCTTCTTCAGTTCACGGGGTCAAGAAAATCAGAAATGATTGGTTGGCACTGGATGCGGTGGTCCGGTTTCAGGCATCGCGGCACAGAGTCACAGGTTATGGTTACAATTGAAAAATTGGCTATGGCTACAACAGTGTATTAAAATTCCCATAGACACTAGTGCTAAATGCCCATACTTCTTAATTCTTTTTAAAAATACTCAGAACTCTCACAGGTATTTAAGCTGCACAGAAAAATGACGATCAATATGTCATTTTTTATTTTATTTTCAATTTTTAGTAGGTTGACAATTGACTTTTCGAGAAACTCTCACCCAAAGAAGACGATCCCTATTTTTCCCAAATCGGAAAAGTAGCCATCTTGAAAAATAATCCCTCCACAACAGGAAAAAAATAGCGCCACTTTCGAGCTCAAATGGATCCAAAATGCTCAGAATTGGAAGGCCCAAGTCTGAGCCAGAGGGTCATTGCCATATTTCTTCAATTCCCCAATGTTATGGCTCTTTGAACTCTGTAACATATAATAATTTGAGGGTATACCTTTTATTCATGAGCTCGGCGAATGGGTTTAGGCCTATTTACAGGTGTGCATCCCTATGGGCCTTATTCACGAGTCGGCCATATTGGATTGAGAGTGAGGTAAACTCTTCATTTTTGGAACTTGTGTAGAGAAATGGAAGCAATGACGTTACAAATTAATACCAGTCTGCTCTGATGAATAATTTTAAATTTGTGATTAAAATACTCTAACGTTTTTTAAGTCACATTTAACAATAGTGAGGCTACAAAGAATATATAGTTTGGCACCATTAAAAAGGTGAGATCATCAACCATAGAGCACGTCACCCTGTGAATGTCCATAAATTCCACGATTGGAAACCGTCAGAGATTATTGCCACTAGTTGCAATAACTTTACAGCTGGTCGCTATACATTAGATATGCTGCTATAAATCCCCCCCCCCCCCCCAAAAAAAAGAAACCGTCACGGAAAGAAAAATTATTTTCAAATGTTAACAGTGCGAACATCTATTTCAACTTAGCCCGCATCATTATTTTAGGGTGTAAGAATTTAGAGAAATGTATGTGTAAATTATTTTAGAGGATTATTTTGTTAATTTAATATTGTTGTGATGAACACACAATAATTTTTACACAAGCCTATCCTGGCCACAGATACGTCGGTTGCACTCTCACTCCGCCTTACATAATGGCTATTGCAAAGTTACATATATTATTGTTTTGGTCGGGGCGGTGAGAATGACATGAGTATAACCTATAGCATACATGTCACGGGTATACACAAGCGTATAATGGGAGACCAATCAATATCCACACAATCCATTGTGCTACTCGATCTATTTAAAGCTACAACTGATAAACAAAGTGATTCAGATCAAAACTGTCCTGATCAAAGTTCGCATCTGGGTCACAGGAAATCTGGTGTGGTGTTGCATTTCTATTTCATTTCTGTGTTGCAAAACCTCAGTACGCGAACTGCTATATCATAAGGTGGGTTTGTCTCTTGACAATACAAGTGCAGATTTTGGTGCATTGGACAATGGAAGATTGGTCATCCGTTTTGTTTGTCTTGATTACGGTGTTCATACTGGTTATAACGTTTTGGCTTCTGGACCGTATGTTTATTGACATTACGGGCAAATATGTCCTAATTACTGGATGCGACAGCGGTTTCGGAAATTTACTCGCTCGCCGTCTTGACAACCGTCGAGGATGTCACGTGATTGCTGCTTGCTTAACTGAAGCTGGAATGAGAGACCTTGGTAGTGTTACGTCATCAATGGTCACCACCATCCTTATGGACATTGGAAGCAACGAAAGTATTCTCAGTGCACATGATCATGTTTTGAGTATTATACCTAGGGGAAAAGGTAAAACAAATTTGATATCAATATGCACTTTCCCTAAACAAAAAGTATATTAAATCTGTATTGTAAATTTCCCGAATTAGCACTGTTTTGCTATTAAAAAAATGCTCCATTAGTGCTATTATGTAATGTTAACGAATATTTCAGAAGCACTGGATTGTATTTTTAAAAAAAATAATATTAATAATAAACGGTGCTTATCAATCGCATTTAAAACAAAGTACCGATGCGCTGAACAATATAATTATGTAGTAAGACAAAGTTTACAAAGAGTTTCGCTTGAAAAGGTGTTTTAAAAGCTGATTTAAATGGTTAATTTCACGCAGTATTTGTCTGATCAAAACAAGCTATATAGTCTATTCTGTTTCCTGACGACGGGCAATGTACAACATGTATGGACTGTCTAAAACGTAAAGTCTCTCCGGTTCGTTTCAAAACCTCACTACTTCAAAATGGAGATTCGACTGCGCAAACTCACAAGAAAGATTTGTTATTTGGTGCAACCATTAAATTTGAACTTATTACTGTCTTCACCAAGGAATCATTCAAACCTTATCAGGTATACTTGAGCTTCCTTAAAACAGGCATTTTGTCACATTACTTTACCACATTTGACCATATTTTACCGTATTTTTTTTACCGTATTTGTTTCTAACAGGTCTATGGGGATTAGTCAACAACGCCGGGATCATATCTGCGATGGGTCTCCCCCACTGGCACTCAAGACAGGAAGTCAGTCACGTGATGGAGGTCAACCTCCTTGGCACTATTGACGTCACCAATACTTTCTTCCCGTTGGTCAGGGAGGCCAAGGGACGCGTGGTCAATGTGTCCAGCGGGTTGGCGCTGTTTCCTACCGCCGGGAGCTATTACGCTGTGTCCAAGGCCGGTGTTGAGGCCTATTCGGATTTTATAAGGTGACTTGTTTTCCATTAGGTTAGGCCCGGCGCACACATTTCCGATTTTACCGGTTCACCGGATCATCGGGCAATCGTGCAGAGATGTGCTCTAAAAATTCGGACGGATCCCACCGAACTAGACTGGGCGACCGGCTGAAATCAAACATATTGGTTTTGTTCGCATCCGATTTCCCTGGATCAGATGTCAGCGGAAAGGTGGGCCGCGGCAGAATTGTGTTTTCACCGGACGCGATATTCATGTTAACCAATCAGATTCACGAAGGAAGTCACATGATTCGAAGCTGATGACGGTCATTTTGTCATCTCGTGACTGGTCATCATATGACCGATTATAGAATGCGATTATAGAATGGAATCAGGCATATGTGCCGGTAACCTTGCGGTCTAACCGCAACGGTAAAAAAATTAACAATTCCGGTGATGGGGTGATTCGGTCAACCGGTAAAATCGGAAAGGTGTGCGCTGGACTTTATACCGACTTCCGTTTAGGGTTAACTGTAGAAAGTGGATGAAGTAAGAGGCTGAATGTTGTTGTATTCAGGGAACGTGTGATGGTGCTAGCCCGTAGTTCAGCGGTTGTTTTTTGTACATGTTGTGTACGTTTGAAATTTTCACATGAGCTACACGCCTGAAAACGTGTTTGTTCGTTCTTAAGACCGCACAATTTTCGCGCCACTAGTGCACCGTGCAGATGTTGACAGGTCAAATTGCCGGCCGGATCAGATCCACCTTTTGCGTTCCCATCTGATCGTGATCCGCCAATTGCCGGATCTGATCCACCAATTGGGGGATCTGTATCCTGGTCCAGAGGTGGATCAGAAAAGGTGGATCTGATCCTGATCCACCTTATAACGGTTAGCGTTCCCACTACACACAATTGCCGGATCTCGGCAATTTGGCAAAAGGTGGATCAGATCCCCCAATTGGTGGATCAAGTGGGAACGGGGTCTTATAAAAGTATATGTGTTTAGATAAGATTTTTAAAAACTGCGACATGTCACAGTTTGATTTATAGCTGAAGACACGCTCGGCGTTAACATAGTCATGTACTTGTCACTGATAAATTTAAGTACATTTATTATAGGCCAACAAATAAGGACTATGAATGTTCAACAATATAATTATGTGGCTTGACAGAAATTCGACACCACACCGAGCCCTGCAAATTCGAAAGCCACCGCGCACTGAGGCTGTCAGAGTCTTTTTTGAAACAGATATTCCAGGCGGTACGGGCATCACGCATCTTAGTAGACAAGAGTTTGGCAGAGTCTTTCATTCTTGTGCTTAGGATTCGTAGTTAGTGTGAGTTACTTTTGTAATTCATTGTTGGCCAGACTATTTTTTTTCTCTTGATATATTTGTACACAGGACATCCATGCAACTTTCTGGTGTTTCAGTGCACATTATAGAGCCTGGTTCGTGTAAAACGTCATTCTTGAACCTGCAAACAACCAAAGACTCACTGAGAAGGCTCTGGAACAGGCTTCCCTTGGAGGAGCGCCAGGATTTTGGGGGCGAGATGGCCTATAAAACACGTAAGTTTGTATTACTACTACTATTACTATAATAGGGCGACAGATTTTGCGAACTCCGTCCACAATAGGGCGATACACCTTATTGAGGCGACATTATAACTGTCGCCCTTTTATGAAAACGACCCTTAGGACAAGGAATTTTGCTGTGGCAAACCATCTAGATCGATTCCTCATGGTCCAATTAGTATAAATACTAAATTTCGTGGAAAAAAAGATAAGGTAAACTTGGGTTAGGTGACAGTTTAGGTTTGTGCACAAGTCTATGGGAAAGTCACCCTATTGCAGCCAAAAGAGTAAATATTGTACTGTTTTTTTCCTCCCAACTCGAAAACTGACCATTATTTTGTTGCTCTTATCTACTCATTCAATCGTCCGAGCTACGCTACCTGTGCACTTTGAAGAATCCTTGGTTTCATTACTGGAATAATGAAAGCGATATAAACTAAATATCTAAGCAAACAGATGTGGTCGGGAAAAAATGTAGCATTATATTAATCATAGTTGTGCAACATGACCCAAATATGCCACAGAATTGTGCACTTTGTGATGAAAGCATAAAAATTCGCAGTATTTATGTTATGAAGATTGTTTAATATGGAGGCATTTCATATTCCTCTTGTGACATTTTAGAGGTCAATGACCTTTTGCATACTCTTGCTACAACAATTCTTCCATAAGTCACTTATTTCTTATTACCCAGGTCTACGTCATAAGTCTTCATACAATGAAAACAATGATCAGGTGCTGGAAGAATTCATATCTGACCTCTGTTGACCTTTGGGAGTGCAATGACCTTTGTAAATCTTATTTATTTCTATTTATAAGAGTTACTCTTTCAACCCCAATTTGTTCAAGTTTAAATGTTAGGTGTTCATGCCAAGAAAATATTTGTATATATAGGGATTGAATAGCTGACCTCTGGTGATCTTCAAGAAGTTATTACCTTTGTAAACCACATATTTAAATATCTACGAAATTTATTCTTGGAAATGCCACTTTTTCATGACCCTATATTCTACAAGTTGACTATTTGTGCCATGAAAAGGATTTTCAGATAGGGGACATCATATCTGACGGCTGGTACCCTTAGAGAAGTCAGTGAACTTTGTATACCTTATTTGTCGCAGGTTATCATGTTTATTCGTCAAAATGTCATTTTTGGGGGCTGACCCCTGACCTCTACTTCCCAATTTTCTTGGCAGACGCAACATGACGCGACTTGAATAGAGGTCTGTGGGATTTTTTCGTTGCAATGGACTGTACAAATTTCAAACAGTATTCACTCTTGGGTACTTATAGCACTCCTTTGTACCCGGACGGACTTGGATAACCACATTTTTAACTGTTTTACTAAGCCCTCTGGTCACTGTTAGAGTGTGATGATTGTTCAATGTACCTCTTAAATTCTGTTGCGCCTGCATCTGCCATTGAAGTTTATAAATATCTATAAATAGGGAATACAAGGTTCATTGCCATCTTGAAGGATACCAAAGCTAAAATATAAAACGCCTTACCTATGAACATTCTCTTTACAGCATGAGCACTTAACATGTTAGTTTTTTTAAATAATAAATTGTATAAATAGCTATAAATAGGGTGTGTAAAGGTAATTGACCACTGGAAGGTCACAAGAGGTCAAATGCTGGTCATTATTAAAATTGTATGAAGACCTTTGAGGTAGACTATGGATCATAGGAAAGTGGTATTTTTCAAGAACAATAAGTAAACTTAGAGTACGTCAAGGTCACTGACCTCTCAAATGTCACCAGGGGTAAAATATGAATTGCCTCTATATCTGAGAATGTTTTTTATGGCATGAAAACCTCACATGTGAAGTTTCATGTTTTTATCACAAAGTGAACAATTCTGTCACGATGCCGCTGCACTATCAAAAAACTTAAGAATGCAATTTCCTCCTCATATTCGTATTAATTGGTGTTAAGGGTTGAATCTGTAAAAGTATTTTGTGAAACATAATCGCGATACACTTTAATATGTTCTATGGGGCTCGGCACTTTCCCTGGTCAAAACACATGGAACACTTTCTCGTGACAAAATGACACTTCCTCGACCTTTTTTTCCGGGTCATGTTGACCCAGTCAGCGCAATTTTTAACCCGGAAAACATGTCAGGCCCCATAAGACCCTGATCCGGGTCAAATCTGACCCGGAACCTTATGAGAGTGTATGTGGCATTGATATAATATCAAGGGTTTATCTTTAAGACGAAAAATGTAGTGTGTAACAGAGGGTTTGGTTTTTGCCTTTGAAATAGTTGAGCTGACCTTGGCGCAAGCTCTGGCAATGGCGTCTCCGAAGTTGCACCTCGTGACGGATGCCATGGAGCATGCGCTGCGTGCCAGGTTTCCATGGCGACGGTACTTACCTGGATTGGAAGCGAAGCTCTTCTACAAAGTCTTCTCGCTCCTGCCTGCCTTTTTCACGGATTTTGTATTTGGCTTGGCGACCAGTTTTCTTTCGAAACAAAACTTGAAAAAGGTCGCTGATTCCACCATTTGATTTAAATATAAGCCTTGTAATTTGACCAGTTGTAAAAAGGAATGATCGATGAGAAATAGAACGTAGATGTAAAATTCGAAAGTATTATCATAGTTTGTTTCCGGTTCTAATAACATTTCAAGGTTAATATAAATGTAACATATTTGCATAGGAGACAGGTAGAAAAACCCTCTTGTTCTCCTGACGCGTTTGTATTGGTAAAATATAACGTTCGTTTCTAATATTAGACCCAGATACTCCATTAAGGGCGAACCATATTCAGGAAGGTAATGCTAAAGGTCATTTAAAACTGTACTCTGAAATTCGAAAGCATAAGTTTCAAATTTTATTTTTTTATTTATTTTATTTCTTTCTGGTAATGAAACCAAGGATCCCTCAAAAGTGCCCTAGGCCCTGTAGCCCGAAAGCCTGAAGAAACCTGTAGAGAGAAGAGAATGAGAAGAAATTACAGTTTTAGAGGTGGGAGGAAAAGCCCAGAGGAATATTCTGAGGAAAACCCACGGAATCAGGTAGGGACTGAAAACCCAATCCACATATTGGACCGGGCGGGATTCGAACCCGGGTCACAGCGATGGAAGGCAAGGAAAGTACCACTACGCCAACCTGACTCCCCTAATATTTGGGAAGCAACCTTTCACAGTGGCGTAGCACGGTCATCTTTATTGGGGGGTACAATTTTTGAAAAGGGCACTTGCACATCCGTGGTGAAAAGTAGACCGGTTTTTTTCTCCGGACACTTGGGGTCCGTAAAATCAAAAAGCGGGGGGTGGGGGGGGGGAGAGAAAGGGGGCTGGTACCATCTGTCGATGGGGGCGCTGTTCAAAACCGACGGTTATGCACACAAACGGCCAATATATGGTGCTTTTCAGGGCGATACATGTGCGCAATTCAGTAACAGGCACCCAAAACGGCAGATGACACAAAAAGGGCACCACCTTTTTTTTTTGTTAAAGGGCACTTGTTCAGAAAAAAAGGGCACTCCTTAAAAAAGGGCACTCTTTACACATTATTGGGGGGGGGTAAGTACGTTGAAAAAAAGGGCATTTTAATGGAAAAAGGCAGTCTTTACAAAATATTGGGGGGTTAAATACCCCCCTCACCCCCCCCCCCCCCCCTCACCCCCCCCCCCCCCCCCCCCGCTGGCTACGCCTATGTTCCAATATCATTATCATCACTCTGTCATCTTTTGTTATTCCCATTTGTCACAACTGAGTACAATGTGCAAGATTTATAATAAACGATTTATTTCGAAAGTTGTTATCAACCATCGAATTTCACATAGCGAATATATTTGTCTATGAAAGACAAATAAATGATGAATCCAACAAATTGATGGTTAATTCGAATCATGCCACAAGATAGTTTAATCACTTGTATAAAATAAACTAAAATAGTTCAATGTACAGTTATTTGAAAGATTCATAATTGAAAAATAAGCGTTTGTTTGGTTGTTTGTTTTCTGTCTTAAGCATGAAATTTCCTTCATCGTTTATTCAAACGCAAATCACACGCTTAAGACCCCCTTCTTAATTGTCTAAGCCTGTATGCTTGTTGGTATTAAACAAATATTTGATACACAGAGATGCTTCAAAATCGTATATAGCCTGTTTTTATGCAAAGTTGCAGTCCGCATTTGCACTTTCAACTGTCATTGCTCTCTGTCAAAAAACAAACAAAACAAAAACCAAAGAACAAAAGGCCCATAGTGGTGAAAAGTTAGATATTTATAGCTGCCAGGTCAAAGGGTATCCCTCAAAATAGTCACAAAGTGCAATATTACAAGTTCGTTCCCTATGGTAGGCCTATAGAAACCATAACTACAAGAGGAATCGTTGCCCTTCCATCACTGTATTTCTCTAGCTCTCACCACTGACACAGACCGAATGAAGTGTAGTGAATTTGTCACCGTTAAGTGTACCAAGTTACTGCAGTGTTGTAGATTGATTTTCAACTATCAAATATCTAAATATTAAAATTACTAAATTGCAATTTATAATAATACCACACTCTGATCATTAATGGAGAACTGTTGCTTAGGATACGCGGTGACCAGAGTGGTGCGCAACAGGTCAAAGTTATCGAGTAGCTTTACATCCATGCTTGCTGATATTATACTTTCCTCCAAACTCAATCATTTCATATACATATCGTTTTCATCATTCTGACTTGCAACAAACAGAAGGCTTGTTGGTGCTCGTATGCGCTGCGGCTGCAGTATTTGCATGTCGGGTACTAGACCGCATCCGTGTCGACATCGGAGGCAAGCATGTCTCCATCACAGGCTGTGAATCTGGATTCGGCAACCTGTTCGCCCGCAACCTGGATCGACGCTGGGGTACGTGATCGAAGCTTGCCTTACAGAAGAGGGTGCGGTCAAGCTTAAACGTGTGACGTCATCGAGGTATACCACATTGCAATTTAGCTCCATAAATGTGGCCAATTTACTGGACTACGATCCGTTAATAAAGGCCACACTTGGAACATGGACTCGAAAATGTAGAACTTTGTCAAATTTGGATGTATTTTGATGTTCACTTTTGGACTATATTTGTAGTTTATTTACACTTAGAAGCATACTCACCCTCTTTATAGCCGTAGAAAAGTTTTTTAAACGTCTGTTTTTCGTGCAGTGATTCCATGGAAACTACTGATTTATTTACTTAAATGGCTAACAAAACCTACGGAGAAAGTGCACAACCCCAGTTTTGGTGCAAATGTCGAAGTCTCATCTTGTCAATCGATTTCACCAATATCGTTACTTTTAATTTTCGTAATGTTTTCTGTCGCTCGAGGGCGCTTTTGTAATGTACCATGCAGAGCCGTTTACAGAGAGAGTTGCAACAACTTCAGACTGTTGAACCATAATGGCCGTTCATTATCTGTACAATGCAGCGTGCAACTATTGTGTACGAATTCCATATGTGCACTGATGCATAATCCGCCATTTTGGTTCCAAACAGTGTGACCCTTATATGTGTCGCAACTCTCTCTATATACGGCTCTGGTACCATGACTCGACAATCTTGTTTTTCTGTATATTTTTTTCTGTTTATTTCTTTTTCTATAAAATGTGTATATTGTTATAATCATTGGATCGAACACGTCGCAAAAAAAATGATGCACAAATCAAGGTTAATGCATTTGTCAAGGAACTTACCATGTCAACCATATCAATCAAAGCAATGTACAACACTACTTAGTTCGGAATTCATTTCAGTATTTGAAATTTGATATTGACATAGGTTTGTATAATTCCAAATGTGAGTATCGTTTATTTGATATTGGATCAAATGTTTGATCATCGAATATGAACTTTTCATATTCCAATACACTTTGCGAATGTCAGTGCTTTCATCTTCAGAAATACTTTGAACATCAACGTGAGCGCAGTCGTCTTCCCATTGTTTTGTACAAACGTGTTTTCGTATTTCCGTAGACACTCCGGCGAAAATAATTTAGTTTGATGTTTTATAATTGATAGTCGATAGCCTCTGATGCCATTTGCCACCACCCGATGATTGTTTTTTTTTTAGGAAAATTGTTTTTGGCCGAAAAACTGACATAATTATATGGGAATTGGTTTTGGAAAAGTTTTGAAACATTTAAATTTATAATGAGGCCTACATGTTGCGACACGATTATTCGGATAAACATCGCTTCCGGGACGGGAAGCGTTCCACTATGTTTTACATTGTTCACTTGATCTTTGCATCAGTAACTGGCTAACCCGATCCCAGTCCTATCGTTCTCTTGACATCAGTCCATGTGGTCTGAATTGGGCCTTTTTGGGGTGATAATTACAGACGAAAGAATAAATCCAGACTAAACTCTGACTAATAATGTGACGTGGACAACCTTTACTTGGTTGACCTTCGATAGAGTTAGTATAGATACACGAGAATCGATATTGATTTTTAGACAAAACCCTGTCCATCACGTCTAAACCACACGCTGTACGCTTTTGTATCAAGTCCACTGTTTTTATTATTTATTTTTTTAACTCGGACAGATGTTCAGAACAGCGAACGCTAAATAACCGCGGTATCATTATGCAAAAATTGATACCCCACCATGAAAAGTCACAAGCGCAACAAAACGTACCTTTTTTTTAATATGATGGCGCAGTTTCCAGTTATTGAAGCACTATGAATAACTCTTGAGCGAGGAAGGAAACCAAATGTTGAGTAATCGGCAAAGCCGTGAAAAGAAAAGTGACCTGCACATGTAATTATTAGGTACAACAAAATTGTTAAAATTCTGTCAACTTTGGACTTTTTATATCTTTTGTTCGAAAGGTATATATATGGAGCAATTATAAACGTTATGTTTAAAACCGGTCACGGGTCTTGGTCGCCGATAATAGCTCTTGCCTTCGGATCGGACCGTTGTCGATAGCCAGGCCCCTACCCGGTTTTAAACCACACATTTATAACTGCTCAATCATACTATCCCCACACATATTCTTTCTTTATTAAGCGCCTATACGGATTACGTTACCAGGCCAGTCTTCATGTTTTTTGTTCGATATCTAGATCTGCTCTTAAGTCTATTGCCAAGAAAACACCACCACCCCACCAAAAAGAAAATGAAGAACCTGCCTCGTATGTACAAAACCAAATGGTTTTACTTTTTTTCGCCAAGCTTCAACTGGGAATTAGCTTTTAACTGACATTTTGTCAGTTTATCTCTCTTCTCGGAAATCAGACATTTAAAATTATTATTATCGTTATGAACTATTTTCAATTAGGCCTATGAACTATTTTCTGTTAATGAAACCAAAGATTCCTCAAAGTCCTATAAAGTCACTGTAGCTCGCAAGCCTGAAGAAACCTACAGAAATGTGACAATGAGAATAAAGTGCAGTTTAAGATGGGGGAAGAAAACCCCAGAAGAATATTCTGAAAACCCAGGAATAAGGTAGGGGCTGAAAGCCCAATCCACATGTGACCGGGGCAGGAACGGAACCTGGGTATTATAACAGCTGTGGAAGACAAGGAACGAACCGCTGCGCAAGCCTGACTTCCCTATTGAGAAATGTTCCTTCACTCACACATCGTAAGTTGTTCATTTCGAAATGATCGAAATGAGACTCCATTCCCTTGCGTGACATACTGTTCACGTTGATAGAACATGGATGTACATGTATGTGATTATGCCCCCACGTACGTTTAACCCCCGTCCTCCCTCCTTCCCCCGCCCCTCTGCATACTTATCTTGCATTAATGAAGCTGGCGTATCGTGTAGCCTGCTACAAGTGAATATTGGATTTATAACAGACAGACGTGCTTTGTTAATAGTGTAGGCTTTCATTACGTGTATGTCGATTGATGTGATACACATGAGTGGTTTTAATTCACAGATCAACAAAAGCGCCCGGTCCTTGAACTGTTACAGCGAGTCTACCATTGTGATTGTATACCACATGTACATGTACATGTGTGCATGCATAGCTCTGCGTACTCTGCACAAAATGTCTCCATGGATGGAATAACCAATCATTCCATGGGAATGATCATGAGATTATACAAACTTAGCAATGCAGCCATATTGGAGCTGTGTAGTTCTCACTTTTTCATGATGGATCTTTTTTTTTGCGTCAGGGGATGTAAACTACGCCGTCGCCCTCGCCCATTTTTGAAAAACCGGTGCTTTAAACAGAAAACAAAATCACGCAACCACACTCGCTTATGTGGACCGATATAGAAATGGTATCGCATACGAAACTTATATGTGGTGACAATTTCACAAGAAGTACATAACACATATCGATTTTTTTAACTGAGATGTGCATTGGCGATAGTGTGACCGATGAATAACACAAAAATTGTAATTTTTAGCGATTTTTGTTCCAGAGCTGCATACCGCACGTTATCCCGCATGCGTATTAACGGTCCCTATTATCTGTATCTGTAGCGTACTGCAAGCAAACTCCACTATGGGATATACGGTTGCAGGCGCGTGGTGGCAGACTAGACGTCTTACCATGGCACAACTGACATTGCCGTGGTTAGGATTTGAATTTTACTTGAAGTTTTACGCATCAATGATGTAATCTTAGGGCTCTGTCACACTTCTGCGTATCCTAATTCCTTATGAGTTGCGCATTGACATTTTTTTCATACGCAGTCGTACGCACAATACGCACCTCATGTGCATCTCTATCGTTTTGTGTAGGTTTTATGTACGCAGATATACGCATGGTACGGCCCACTACGCAGGATAGTTTTGGGCATGCACAAAACTATGCTGCGTACGCTGTTACGCAGGTCATAAGTTATAAATACGCAGCGCATCGGTCCCGCATCGGTCGAGTGCGTTACGAGTACGCTATGTGTTCTTGACGCACCCCGTCAGCATATGAGCCGCCTGTATTGGACGTATACATAGCGTACTTGCAGCGCAGATGCAACGCACGCTGGACGGCGAGCGGCGGAAATGCGGCGAGAATACGCTCAGAAGTGCGTCAAGCATAGGGTCGGCATAAGTCGGGTGCGTCCGGAATACGCTAGGCATGCGCACTGCATACTGACGTATTCGCAGCCCGAAAAATAATGTTGTGTACTGCATACGGAACTCATACGCATCTCATACGCAATGGATGCGCTGAATTCGTTACTTGTACGCTAGATGTGCGTGGCACATATAAGTCAAAGTGATCAAAACATTTCGACGTTAATTGAGCATACGGCTGCGTATTGAAAATGTTTGATAAGGATCTCATAAGGAATTAGGATACGCAAAGGTGTGACAGGGGCTTAATGATCGTTGCATGTCTGAGGGCTTGCGAAAGAACCAGACTCATACTGACTTCCTGCCTAGTGTTTGTTTATGTTTACAGTTTTTGCTAGTGTATTTGTCCAATAACTGAAAACAATAAACTCCATGAAGGCTGCTGAATGATCTATAGAGAGGTTCTTGTTTATTTGGTTTCATATATTTATTTATTTATTTATTTAATTATTTATTTATTTATTTATTTATTTATTTATTTATTTATTTATTTATTTATTTATTTATTTATTTATTTATTTATTTATTTATTTATTTATTCATTAAATTTCTTTACCCAAGGTATGCCCAAACAGTTTAAAACTGGTTTCCGTTGGGGGCCCTGCATACATTTCAAACTATTCAATGTTGTTAAGTTAAGTTAAACTAATAAGTGCATTGGTGAAACATACGACGAACATTGATATATGCGAATTTAGGTTTTCCCGGCCAATTTCGGAAAAATAGCATTCGAATTCATTTTGATAGTGGCCAATTTGATGCGAAGTAGCGCCCAAATGTCATTCCCGTGGTTCGTATCAGATTTCAGGCGTTCAAATTCGTTTTAAGAATTGACATTTTCATGTTAAACACATCCTAAATTGAAGTCATGTCATTCGGTTTTAGTGATCATTCAATTTAGCAGTCGGTTTGGTCAAGGGTATGATTTGCATGAGATTCTTGTTTTCGTTTTCATTTCCGCGCATTCTATTAAGCACTTTTTGCATTCAAAATAAAAGAAAACGAAGGTATAAGATGCGAGTCTTTTCATTTCTTACACCTTTTAATAATTTCTGCTTCTTGTCGTCGTCCATTTTTGTGTGTTTCTGGCCCCTCCTCTTGGCCGGGTTTCCTGTCTGCCATCTGAGATACGTTGTTACAATAATGACCTGGCAGTTGATCTGTTTATGCCAAGATTGTCTGCAAGTTCAAGATAGTCTTGGGCATTGCCATCGAAAGCTTCGATCAAACGACCACGGTCTACATTTGACATTCTCTTGTAACGCCCATGAGCTGCAGGCATATTGATATTTCTAGTGCTTCAATCTAACAGTTTGCATGGTGATCAGAGTAGTGGCAGAGTCTGTGGGAGACAGGTTTTATCCATATTCCCAAATTGGAACAAAAGCACATCATCTTATTCTAACAAACAACGGAACGACATGGACCTATTTCGAATTCCTTTGCTTACTTTCCACATATGCTTGCTTAATGGTGAATTCATATGACCAAACTTGCACAGCTGGATGCTCCGGCGAATTTGGATGCCCGTTTTTGCAATTTTAATTTGTAAGCCCTATTGTTAAAATTGCATGATTAAAATGTGAAATCGCATGCTTCTAATGTAAAATTGATTGGTGTTTTTAGGCAATTGAATGTTGATCTCAACGTGCATTCAATTTCGTGCGAAAATGAGTGATTGGTCGCCAATTTGGCTCCAAATCTGCTAACTTGGCCAGGAAAACCTATACAAGTGTTTCAGAAATATTACAGATATAAAGATATATTTACAACACAAGTTAAACATTCAAGAATAAGACATTATGAGTAATTGATCACAGGATGGGCGAAAACCCCGCAAAATTCCTTTTATGTAAAACAAGCACGGGGAAATTCACGTTCCGGCTCCAAATTTATACCGTGGCAACCGATACTTCGTAGAACAGCGCATTTCGAACCATCGTTTTATTGGCAGAAATATCACAAACTATATCGAGCCTGCACCCGATTTCATCAAACTCTTCGTAACTTACGATGCATCGCAGCGCTGCGACGCGTCGTATCTTTACGACGCGTCGCAGCTGCGACGCGTCCTGCGATCCATTTCACAAAACGCGTCGTAAGTGCGACGCGTCGTACGTGTATTTATAGCACAACTCGGTGACTGTTTTATGTATTTAGTCAGCGTACAGTAAATAGTCGTCTGATATTCAACAAAGAGTCGTCGGATCTCAGCTCAAAATTTGTTAAAACGTAAAACAAAATGGCGGTCGTGCGATGCAATTTTGAAGGAAAACAAGCTCTCAGTGGACTGTATAGCTACTTTGAAATTTCAACTGCAATATTCCAGTCTAATTCATAATTATTCACGAATTTTCTATTTACAACTTTACACATTGCCTCGGTATTATAATCTCGTTTATGTAATGTTTTGGCATTAAACTGGCTAAGAAAGGGACTCTTCTTATTTTGCGATGACCACTCTTCTTACTTGCGACGTGTTTTAAGCCGTTGTCAAGGAACTTACGACGCGTTCAACACATCGCAACTTTCGTGAAATGCATCATACGACGCGTCGCGAGTTGCGATGTGTTACACGTCGTAACTCGAGTTGCGACGCGTCGCAGCGCGTCTTGAAATCGGGTGCGGCAGAGCGTTTAGCGATTTTGTGTGCACGATAAGTGGCAGAATTTCGCCATCGAGCCAAGGTAAAGAGACACCTCGAATACGTTTAGTTTCATTGGCGCATGGAAGTTAATAACACTCATCAATTTAGGAGTGCCTAATCGACCACCGTCTGACCACGCTTCGTCCAAATCAGTACAGTTTGGGACATGTTACCATGGTGCATTAAGGAGGTTTTCTTCAAGAGCAGAATTGTCTTAAAACATCGGACATTATTTTAACTGCCATTTATTATTAGCGTTTTGCAACAATGTAGACCATAAATAAGATAGTGGTCACAAATTAGACCTGGTAAGACACCACAGTCTTTATGAGCTCTAGGTGGGAACTGAAAGTGAGATTGATTGTAGTTTGAGTGGATTAAGTAGCACGGGTTTGGTTGTGTACGAGTTGCGTAATTTGAAACAAATTGAAACAAGATGGAACTGATGAGATTTTCTATGTACAAGGTCCGTTGAAAATACATTGCGCCTGAATGTCCTAGTTTCTTTCCGTTTACGGACACTGACGATGCTTTATTAATATCAATCAAAAGTGACGAGGCTTCTTGTGTGTTATGGGGAGACCAGAAAAGAGTACTTGAATAGTTTCACACTCGGAAGATTATAAATACAGTGCCCGCAAGCCTCAACTAAGACCGATATAGAGTTTATCAATTGTCCGAAGACAATCTCATACGGAAACACGTACTAAGCACTGTACGAAGCACTGTACTGTTTTCACTTCACAATGTTACTTTTCCTATCGAATTACGGCACACCTCAGAGACGTTTAGCTCTGGGTTGCATAATTCGAGGAGTTGGAAACGTAAATGTATTACCGCGAGAAATATTACCAGTGACGTAAACTTGCATTATTCAACCTCAAAAGAGAATCAGGAGGGGGAGAAAATACGTAGTTGTCGTACTGCTTCATAACCGTTCCCCATATATCACGCAGAACAAAATTATACGCTCGCTGGTGTCCCACATACGATGCGATTCCATTTAATATTGAATTGAGCACATCCACCCCATTCCAGCGGACCGGATACTCCTCAAAGTGGTCTCCGTACACCATCCGCACTCCCAGTTTCTTCATGACCATGCCAATGTACACATCATCCCAAGGTAAGTATCTGACATGCGCGGATTCGCTGAATATGCGTCCTGGCAGGTCACCTGACATGACGTAAGCAGGGCCATTCAAATATGGTGGGAACGTGCTTTCCGGATACATCTCGACTGGGGTGAACCACTTTGTAGAGATTTTCTTCCTACGAATGCGTTGTGGTAGAGTTGGGCCTTTGAGGCGCCCTATTGCGAAGTTTCTTCGAGGTGTCGTTTCTAGCAGTCGCACTAGTCTAAAGACATTGACAAACATGTCACTGTCCAGATTCATGACGTAAGTGGCACGTGGACACATCTGCCCAGCCCACTTCAATCCCATCAATACCTTGTGTGTCATGTTGTGGTACGAGTCAGCGAAGTTTTCCTGGATAATGTCACCGTAGAGAGCGCTCTCCTCCCAAATTATTTTTCTTGTGTATATCTTTCGAGGGGCCTGGCCGACCAGAAAGCGGGTAATGAGAACTTTGTCGCGATAGGCCTTAACCGAGCCCCATGTATCTCTAATCCATCGACGGTCTCGGACCTCCTCTGGTCGGCAGGCTACCAAGATAAGCAAGAAAACCTTCCCGTCGGGCGCGTGTTGGCTGCAATTACCCGAGTTATTGATAAAAGTGAACGGATGCGGGTTAATGACCCGATCACTGAACATTGGGTTTTCCTTTTGCAGTTGTAGCCTTCTCGCTGTTTGCTCGTTGTCCTCATCAGCAAGAATATGTTTGGCAGGTTTCACTTCGTGTTTATTTTCCAAATGTGATTTGTTCAAGAGAAGCTCAGGCTTTACTTGCGACCCATTACCAAAGACTGCAGGAATGACGTCTGATTTTGAAGTTCCGTTTTTCGAATTTTTAAATTTGTTTGCGTACCTATTCAATTCAACATTATTGGATTTTCTCGTGTGATTTGCATTTTGAGCGTCTGAATTCGGTCTCATCGCGGCTGATGAACTCGAAGCTGTTCTTATCGGCGTGTTCACATTACGTAGGCGAACATCTTCTTCCCCACGATCTAATGTATCGCTGTCAGACTTTAGAACATTTTTATCGTCAGTCCTGCCGATGAAGTTAACGATGATGAAACAAATGCACAGGACACCAAATGCCAGGCAGAGTGTCCTGTTGCGTCTTGTGTACAGCCTCATTTTCCCGCTCCTTAGTCACTGTAAGAACCGAAACGAAACGGATAAAAGAAGTGGCATTAGTCGGATATTTGCATTAATATATGCTCTTCGCGGTCTCAATACAAGACTTTCAAGCCTGTTAGCATTTGACTTTTTGATGGTGAAACTTACGGAGACTGTTGTCGAGCTAACCAAATTAAGTCCGTGTGGACAGCAGGTGAATTTCCCAAATGGTCAAGTGTCGATCGTCGATTGTAAGTTTTACGCTGGGAATTGATCGGGTATATACAACAAATTTGGCGCTTTTTCACAATCGCGTTCTGTGTAAGGCTAAAAAGTCAATCACAGGGCGCCCTCGTAAAATTCTTAAATAGAACAGTGCTGGGAAGTTTATGTAACTACCTTTCGTGGGTCGAAATTAATCAAACTGCGGACGCACGAACGAAAACTTACATTGCAATTCCACAATCACTCGTAGTGGCATTTTACAAATTAAACCAAATAGTTGGAAAACAAGGTTGACCTTCATAAAGGGTGAAGTTGACCTTCATTGAGGGTGAAGTTAACGACTTTTAGATATGGAGTATATCTTTCCTGGTATGCGTCCCCTAATGTCAGTTAGGCTGATGCAATATTTATTTCCTCGCCCCATCCTTTTGATCTAATTTGACTTACAAAATCGATTTTTGTTTTCAGAGTCTATACCCAGAAACATCCTTTAAGCAAAAAATCAGGGCAGCCGTGCTCCCTTAGGCTAGGCCTGTATGAGAACCTTTTTGCCGAACAACTTGACAATAGCAGTGGACACCATCTACCGAATACTGTGCAATACCTGTGGCAAGACATGCCCCATGTATGACAAAATCATGGTTAATTATAACTGATCAAAAATGCTCATAAAATATAGCATTGATAAGACACATTTACTAATCACGTAGGCCCAGCAGCGTATCCAGCTTTTGATGTTTGGGGGGGGGGGGGCAGCTGCACATCTGCGCCGAAATGTAGACATTTTTTTTTTCCGGACACTTGCCCTCCGTAAAATCAAAAAGGAGGGGGGGCTGGTACCAATCTTCCAAATGGGGGCACCCCCTGCCCCCCCCCCCCCCCCCCCCCCCCCCCCCCCCCCCCGCTGGATACGCCACTGCGTAGGCCACAACACATTTAAACTAGGGGAATCTGTCAATACGGTGATGCGCGTAAGCAGTTAAAGCGTATGTTGTAGACCAGCGCATATTTGAATCTCTTTGAGTTTTTTTATCGCAAAAACCATATATCTACTTACCGTATATTTGATCGTGTACCCGCATTTGCTTCAATAAACCATTCAGAAGGGTATGTTACGTTTCGATGATTTAAGTTGCGAAGTTCGGAACTGCTTGCAAAAGATGGTCCACAAAATCCAAAGTAACAGATCGAGAAGACGATCCGAACCAAACCCAGTCAGAGATATAGTAATGTCTGTTCATCGGGGTTCACCTGACGTAAACCAGAGAAAAACAAATAATCGATGGTAAAAAAAAATCTTTACATTCGTATCAGGGTCATGCACGTACAATGTCGACTGAATTCGATCGCTATTTGAAACGATACTGCTACAATCGCACGTCTGCCAAGTTCAAAACAAAACGCTGTTGTCGTGAAAAGTGTATGCGTCTGAAACACATGTTCCGTACAGGGAAATATGGCATTGATCTCGTAACCTTGAGCTATTTACATGTGAAAGAACGATCCATAATAAAACGGCTGTTTACTGCCATCTGCTTTTGCTCGTGCAACATGAAAAATAGTAATGCTCACATAATGCATAATGTACCCAGTATGCAACCTGGATGACATGTACTTATTTGTTTTGGCACTTCTGGAAACATCAGGAATTCATAATGATGTACATATATAAAAAAGGAAATTTGTATCCAATTCTATGGAGCTTTTTTATTATCCAATGAAATCGTCTTCTATCACAATTCACAGTGCTCGATACATCTCTGTAGAGCTATAAACATGCAATAAATTCAGAATATTCTCTTTCTGAACAGACTGTTTCGTACCATAAGGCACTCATCAGCAGAATGACGAAAAATAGAATACAAGTAGCATCTTACCTTATTTCGAATCAAGCGCGCGCACGCGTTACGCGCGTTACGTCATTGAAGTTAGTACGCGTTTACGTCACTGAAGTAAGAACACATCTGTCTCGATGCCTGCACTTGGAGACGATTTCGCTTCTCTTATTCAGTGTACCTAGATCTGGCCTACATGATCTAGGTACACTGAATAAGAGAAGCGAAATCGTCTCCAAGTGCAGGCATCGAGACAGATGTGTTCTTACTTCAGTGACGTAAACGCGTACTAACTTCAATGACGTAACGCGCGTAACGCGTGCGCGCGCTTGATTCGAAATAAGGTAAGATGCTACTTGTATTCTATTTTTCGTCATTCTGCTGATGAGTGCCTTATGGTACGAAACAGTCTGTTCAGAAAGAGAATATTCTGAATTTATTGCATGAGCTTTTTTATTATGTATATTTATGAGCGCACCATTACAAATTCATTACGTTTGCCGTAGTGACAGCATATCCCGTGTTACGTCGCGTCATTTCACCCCACAACACTGCATTTGCATCAGAAGGTTTACCAGTTTGGTTGAAAATATTGTACGAGTTTCCCATGTGAATTCCGAGAAATGTGAGACCTTCTTACATCAAGTTTAGAGGTTTATTGGTTCTGCTTATCCATGACCCAAGACACAGACCTTGGGATTTTGTTTAATTTCGTTTAACAGTTGCAGCAGAGGAGCAATTGTAACAGTTATAAATGTATTGAACAATTGGTAACAAATAAATAATTGGTAACAAACATACTGGAAACATCATCAGCATAAGCTGAGGTTTCAATGCCTGGCATTTTGAAACTAAATGGAAGTAAATTTCATCTTAACCATTCTCGCAGTCTGCACCTTGAATTACCTGACAGTGGCATGGTATTCTTTCCCACCACAATGTAATTTGAGCCAGCCGGCCCTCACACCCCAACATAAGTGGTTCTTGGCCAAAGAATAAATTAAGCCAGAGAAAGGACATCTTTGTCTAGTTTCTTTTTTGAGGAGCAGTCGAGGAGCCGCATACTTTAAGAAGACTTTACAAATCTTAATGTAGTGAGACGTCTTTTACGAGGCACCGTACAATTGGCACACAGCCCAGAAAAATGTATACAAACGCGCACTCAGTGCCGTGAACGCGCGAATATCAGCCTTTTTCTGCATGCACACCAAAGTGTGAGTATCGTGCATAGATTTGTGCTTGAAAACCAACATTTTATTTTCAAATGAGCGAAATTTGTATTTTCTTTACTTTACATTCTAATGTCACAATGCAAGTTCTCTGCTACCGCTGGGATAGGTGTTAGTTTATTTCATGTTGACGAAAGGAGTGATTTTGGGGTGAATTAGTATTCGTTATCTCAAAGTTTTAATCACCGTATTCATCGTGTAAGTCACATGTTGATTTATTGCAATACGACTGCTTCATGTCAAGTGCAATTTGGAGGCCTAGTTCACTACACAGCCGTACACTGGCCATGACATTAATATAATATAATAGCTTGACATACGAATTGATCTTGTTCTTCAAAGCCAACGGCCTTCATAACTTTGAAGACATAACTATGGCCAACATTATTGAAAAAAAAGTATTGAAGTTGAACACCGCAGAGAAGCATAATGAAAATGAGCATACATATAATAATATATTTAGTCACATATGGAGCGACCCGCAACAGTGAAGCTTTGATCAGGATAAACAATATTACTGATAACATGTTCAGTCCATCTGTCATGATTGTAGCAAAACAAAATAATTATAGTCTGTATTAATTGATCAAAGGAAACAGAAAGCCTGTTCGAAAATGATAGCCAATCGCCTGTTTTGGCAATGAGAGTGATGCTCCCCCCCCCCCTACTTGATACCAGTAGACGCCCAAAAGAAACAGATCGGTTTGATATAATGTCGTCCTTGATATGTAATGTTCAGGAATGTTTGATAGCATTCACTAGTCAGCTCATTGAGGCCAGGCGACTTATTGTTGATTAACTGCTTAAATGAGTATCCATCTCATCATTGTTAAACACTTATCACATTTCACTTGCACTATTAAACGTGTGAAAGATTTTTAGTAATTTAGTTATGTAATTTATATAACATAAAGTTAATATAGGTTTTCTTGGCCAATTTCCTAAAATGTTCATTCACTTCTAAAAATCAGTCATTCATTTTCGTCTAAATTTGAGAATCGCTCGGAACACGCGTTTCATTTTCGCTACCGGAACATTGATTCCATTTCAGTTCAAAGTGATTGAGCAGCACCTTTCGTTTATGCAATGCATTCATATTCGTTTAGACTTCCTTTTCGCTTTTAGAGGGCGATTTCAAATATTGGCCACTCTATTCACTTTTAGTTTGGTTTTATGTGATGCAATCTGCTATTTAGAATGAAAAAACGTACTTTTGATTGCACATTCACGAAATTGTATTCCTGAACTATGCGCGAAAAGGTATGCTTGTCAAGTTAATGAATGCACATGTAACGTAATTGGCCGTCTGTTTCCCAAAACCGAGTTCACTGACAATGACAACGTTTGAACTTTCGTTGAATTGAGATGGGATTAAAGACGTGCATTCAAATTCAGACGAAATTGAACGACTGAATTTCAGAAGTAAAAAAACATTTCAGGAAATTGGCCGGGAAAACCTATATTTTAAGCTATTTATAGTTTCAAGGTTTTCATCGTCTTATATGCTGATTGCTTTTTTACGGCTTGATTTTATTGCTTTTACACCAGTAAAAGAATTGCGTGTCTGGTTTAACTTATTTGACTAATCAAATAAGAATCTGATCTTAACCAAGCATTCTTAATTATTCAGGTCAGTCGAGCCTCAAAAGAAATATTTTTATAATAAAGATGGGAATGTGCGATTCTATTTCACTGAGATAGTCAGAAATGCTTGCTACCAGAAAAAGAG